CCCGGGCGGCAGCCTGCAGCCGAGGCCGGCGCGGGGCGAGCGGAGCTGGGCTCGCGCGGAGTCGCCGGTCCTCACGCCATCGGGGCGGGGCTCCCTCCCAGGGCCGGCCCCGGCGGCCCCACGTGCGGCCCGATTCCCGCCCCTGCACGCCCTGACCTGCTTCGCACCTCTTAACGCAGTGACGATGGCAGCCTTTTCATCTACCTCGATTAGACCATAACCCCCCGGGGCAGGGCTGTGTCCGACTCACGCATACTCCTGGCTCTTGCAAAGGGTCCTGCCGGGGGGTGCCCCGAAAGCACCTGTTGCATGGCGAGGTGGGGCTGCTCAACCATGATGACAGTGGATAACGAAGGTGAGAGAGAATGTAAAATCGTGCACCGGCCTTTAAACTGGAGGATAAATTCAGCTCTGTGGATTTGGCCCACACTGTGTCTTACTGGATCCTTTTTTTTTTTTTTTTTGGTGAGAGGTTTTTGCTATAGGGCGCGTGCGATCGCCAGACAAACAGAGAGAGACAGAGAGACAGAAAGCGAGAAATCACCCCCGGGGGGATGGTCATGCCGCAATCCCTTCTCCATTCTCCTCTCCGGATCTTTGGGCACCCACGCACATGTGCCCTCACCAGAGAGACAGAAAGCGAGAAATCATCCCACGGCGGGATGGCCATGCTGCAATCCCTTCTCTTCCATTCTCTCGGGCTCTTGGGCACGCACACACACATGCGCCTGGTGTGAGTTTAAGCCACTGGGTCCAGGACTCGAACCACCGTCAACTACATGGGAGTTCAGCGACATAGCCATTACGCTAAGTGCTAGTCCCAGAGAAGAGTTGATAGTGCTAAATTCTTATGTCTCAGCCATCAGAGAGAGCTTCCTGGAGGCAGAGTGAGCAGTTCCAGCTTCCTGCCCAGGAGAGAACTGCACGAGACAAAGGACATTCACTCGGGAGGACATACAGAAACCCCATAGTTGGTTGCCCAACCACAGAGAGCCGAAGTCCTTGTTTGCAGGTCATTGCGAAGTTAAAGAGTAATTCAGGGTTATCAGAACGGATTGAATTGAGGCTAACCCTCACCTGTTGCAACAATGGATGTGACGGAAACGATGGAGTCAATGGCACAGCTTTCTCCTTCATGAACCTGCTGGCTGGCAGGCCTGACACGTCACAGGTCTGTGGTCAACAGTCACCTTATCCAGTGCCCCATGCCAGATGTCAGAGAAGTTCCCCACGGCACTGCAAGCCTAGGTCCTAATAAAATGGAGCCCTGCCCTTTCTCATTGTTGAGGTTCTGCCTTCTTGTTAGAGAAGCATACAGGTGAGGCAATTGGGCCAGTGGAAGGACTCCAGGTGACAGGTGCAGGCACTGAGGCTGAGCCTCTGCGTGGAGGACCCACAGTCTAGGAAGGTCTGTGGGCCCCCTGAGATGAACTAATTTATACTATACCCCTAAATGGCATCAGCACGCACTGTACCAGCTCAGCCTTCCCAAGGCCTAAAGCCCCAGCCTCCATGCTGCTTTCCTTCAAGTTAGGATGTCCAAAGCCCCTGTGGGAGGACATCCAGTGTATTCATTCTGTACTGTGACGATGCCGACGGAGCTGGGGCAGACATGACTCTGGCTCCATTGTGGCCCCGTCCGCTCAGCAAGCATGTCAGAGATCAGAGGGCAACATAGACTTGGGAGAGGACGAGGTAGGTATGGAGCTGCCCAGGAGCCCAGAGGAGGAGCAGAGCAATGAGAAGCCTTTCAGATACAGGCGAACCTATATCAAGCACTAACCTCAGCTGGGCCCAGCGTTAAATGCTTTCTGTGCATTACCTGTCTTCGCCTCACAACAGCAGGGTATTATTCCCATTTCACAGATGAAGGCAGGCACAGTGAGGTTAAGTAACGGGGTGGGTAACTAGGAATGGGAACTTTAGTTGAATCTTAAAGATGAGGAAGAGGTGGGTGTGACACTTTAGAAGTGCTTGGTACATTTTTTTTTTTTTTCTTTTTTTGGAGAGGTTTTGCTATAGGGCACGTGTGCTCTCCAGACAGACACAGAGACAGAGAGACAAAGCGAGAAATCACCCCCGAGGGGGGATGGCCACGCCACGATCCCTTCACCTCCATTCTCCTCTCGGGATCTTGGGCATGCATGCACACACTCCCAGCATGAGTTTAAGCCACCGGGTCCGGTACTCAAACCCCAGTCAACTACGTGGGAGTCCAGCGACATAGCCATTATGCTAACTGTTGGTCCCCAGAAGTGCTTGGTGCATGTCTACTGAGTGAGTTGACGAATGCGTGAATAAGGAAAGGTGTAAATGGTCAGGGAGTCGTGGGGGTCGGAGTGGGTTGCAGGTAGACAGAGACAAGCTATCAGAACTGAGTCTGAGAAGGTCTGTGGGAAGGGTGAAGCTGCTGAACCGGTTGTTGACTATAGCTAGAGGCTTCCCGCTTGGCTGTCACCTAGCTACCTCCTACTCTTCCCATGTGACTAGGTGTGGTCATATGTTAGCCGCAGGGAACATTTTGGTTCCCAGGAACGATCACATTCGGTTATTTACTGTAACTTGCAGTGACAGGGCAAGGTCCAGGAGGACAGGCCTTTTCATTCTTGGCTTGTCAAGACCTTCCAAAGCTCTTCTGGCACCTGGAGAACCGCACAGCAGTCTGGAGCTTACCCTGCAGGAGCATAGCCATGGTGCTCTGGGGTCCAGTGCTAGGAGTCCTGCTGGTGGTTATTGCAGGGTACCTGTGCCTACCGGGGCTGTTTCGACAGCAGAGGCCCCACGAGCCACCTCTGGATAAGGGGCCCTGGCCCTGGCTGGGCCATGTCATACCCTTCCGGAAAAATATGTTTGAATTCTTGAAGCACATGCGAGCCAAGCACGGGGATGTGTTCACTGTGCAGCTAGGGGGCCAGTACTTCACCTTTGTCATGGATCCCCTTTCCTTCGGCCCCATCCTCAAGGATGTGGAAAGAAAACTGGACTTCGTGCAGTATGCAGAAGAGCTGGTGCTGAAGGTATTTGGGTACAGTGCAGGGCAGGGGGACCACCAGATGATCCGCTCAGCCAGCACTAAGTATCTGATGGGGGATGGCTTGAAGGATCTCAATAAGGCCATGCTGAACTGCCTGTCCTTGGTGATGCTGGGGCCCACCGGCCGGAGTCGAGGTGCTGACCGCTGGCAGGAGGACAGCCTCTTTCACTTCTGCTATCGCATTTTGTTCAAGGCTGGCTTCCTGAGCTTGTTTGGCTGCACAGAGGACAAGGAGCAGGACCTGCTGCAGGCCGAGGAGCTATTCGTGCAGTTCCGCAAGTTCGACCTTCTCTTCCCTCGGTTTGTCTACTCCCTGCTGTGGCCCCGGGAGTGGCTAGCTGTGGGCCAACTCCAGCAGCTCTTTCACAAGATGCTGTCTGTGGAACACTTCCCAGAGAGGGACGGTGTAAGCAGCTGGATACACTACATGCTTCGGCATCTGAGAGAGGGGGGCGTCACCCCAGCTATGCAGGACAAGTTCAACTTCATGATGCTGTGGGCCTCCCAGGGGAACACAGGGCCTACCTCATTCTGGGCCCTCTTGTTCCTCTTGAAGCACCCAGAAGCCATGCAGGCTGTGAGGGAAGAGGCCACTCAGGTCTTGCGTGAGGCCAGGCTAGAGGCCAACCAGTACTTTGTCTTCGAATTGAGTGCCTTGCAATGCACTCCAGTGCTGGACAGTGTGATCCAGGAGACGCTGCGCCTGGGGGCAGCCCCCACCCTCTACAGGAGAGTGCACGAAGACTACACCCTGAAGACGGCCAGTGAGAAGGAGTACCTGTTCCGCCATGGAGACGTCGTGGCCCTCTTCCCCTACCTCTCCGTGCACATGGACCCTGAAATCCACCCCGACCCCACTGCCTTCAAGTACAATCGCTTCCTCAACCCCAATGGCAGCCGAAAAGTGGATTTCTACAAGGCGGGCAAGAAGATCCACCACTACACCATGCCTTGGGGCGCAGGAGTCTCCGTCTGCCCGGGGAGGTTCTTTGCCTTCAGTGAGATGAAGCTGTTTGTCCTACTCATGGTCAGATACTTTGACCTGGAGCTGGTGGATCCTGACACTCCCGTGCCCCCTATGGACCCGCAGCGCTGGGGTTTTGGCACCATCCAACCCAGCCACAGTGTGCGTTTTCGCTACCGCCTCCAGCCTACGGAGTGAGCTCAGTCAGTCCAGCTGCTGGCCTGGCCAGAGGGGCTTGCTTGGGATCTCCTACCTCCTCTCACCCCTCTGCAGCCACAGTCCCCCACTGACTGGCCCTCCCTCTGGTTCTGAGGCACCCTCTACCTCTGTTCTGATTGTTTCTTACGCCCTGACCTCCTTGTCATCTCTCTTTAAAGCATCATCTCTCCTGAGAAGTTTTGCAGAACCCTCCTCCCTCAGGAAGTCCAGTGGAAGGGGAATCTGTGGGCAATTCAGTTTTGGAGATGCTGTCTGCCTCGAGCAGTCCTGCTGTGTAGAGACTTGTTTCCGTGAGTAACGTGGCATCTGTCACATGCGAGCCGTCACCCTCCTACCCCGTTGTGTTTTCTCCCCAATAATGTTCCATCCTGTAGAATTGAGGTTCTAGAACAGTGTCATCCAGTAGAAATTTGAGCGAGTCAGGGGCATCATCTTTCATTTCCTAGGACACGCATTTTAAAAAGCCAAAAGAAACATGAAATTCATTTGTAGAATGTATTCGACTTAACCCGGTAGAGCCAAAATGTTAGCATTTCAACACACAATCAATTTAAAGCATATTAGTGACATATTTGTACAATCTTTTTTCCACCCTGTTGGAATCAGGAATGTACTTTATTCTTACAGTACTTCTTGGTTCAGACTAGCCACCTCCCATAGGCTCATTAACCCCAAGTGGCTAGGCGCTCCCACACTAAAGAGCCCAGGTTCAGAGAAATGCAGCCTTTGGTATTGGAGTGATGTAAGGTCCCATCTCGGTGTCCTTGTCTCCTTTCTGTTCTCCCCCCTTGGGGTGGTCTTGGCCCTCCCTTGGTTTCCACAACCACTGCTGAGCTCAGAGCTTTCACCTACCCCCCTCCTGCTCTCTGCATGGGAGTCTCGTAACACCTCTGACTCAGCTTGACCCATGCACAACTTAGCCTCTGCCCTGAGTCACTCTGTCCTCCTGATTTCCCTGCCTCTCCCTGCTCAGCACACTGTCACCCACCAGGCTCCCCGTGGGAGATCCAGAGGCGCCTTCTCCTCCTCCTCTCTCCTGTCAGCTCAGCCCCCTCTGAAAGTGTCCACCCTGACCTGACTGCCATTCTTACACCTGTGCCCTCTACACTCCTGTCCATCCAGGCCTTTCAGGCCCTCTGTTCACACTGCTACCAGAGGTGTCTTTTCAAAAGTGTATTCATTCATGTTTCACATGCGAGAGAGAAAGAGAGAGAGAGATAGGCAGCACCCCCAGTAGACAGGGTCTCCATGCCACAATCTGCCCCAGCCCCAGCCAGCTGAGATCGAAGGCATTCATGCTGGACATGCTCAGAGAGGCCTCATGACCTTTCCTTTTTCCCTACATTGGTCCAGTTGCACCACCGCCATCACAGTTCAGCTTTGCCAACTTTCTCCAATAGAACCACCCCTAAAGTAGAGGCAGTGCTTGTACTACCAGCCCCAGTGCTACTACTCCTGGAAGCCTTCCTGGATTTTGCTCACCCCACCCTCTCGCCAGAAATGGCCTCCACCCTGGAGCTCCCCCAGTACTGGATGGATCCCAACACCTGTTATGTGTGATTGCTTCCTGCCTTTTTGTTTTTTCCTCCTGCTCCCTGCCCCAGACTGGGGCATGTTCTCTTATTCATCCATCTCTGACCCCCAAGTCTCTAAACGTGGATTAAATTGTGGAAACCTGACTTCTAATCTCAGCTAGTTTTCTTTGTGTCTTCAAATCATTTCCTCTCCCTCCCTGGCCTCAGCTTTTGGCATACGAAGCTGGCACAGTTCCTATTGCCAGGCCTGCTCAGCAGGGCCAGGAGAGGGTGAGAGAGGGTATCTCTGCCAGAGCTGCGTCTGACTGATGCCTGGCCCTGGCCGGAACTGGGACAGGATGGAGAATGACTATGGGAGCTGGACAGAGGGTCTTGGGGAAAGTAGACCAGCATGGACTCCCCAGCCAGGACCAGCTAGTGGGCCTCTCTCCTACTCCTCTCCCACCTCTTCGGTCGCTTCCTTTCTCCTGAGCCTTTCTGTTATGCCCTGTATTTTGTCAGGATAACAGGATATTAGAGTGATTAGGGACCTGAGCTGGGGGGTAGGAGTCCCCAACTCACTGTGTGACCCCAAGCCAGGGCCTGCTTTTCTCTGGGTTTACCTGTCCTCAAACAATGATGTCTGCTTAGAGTCTGCTGGAGCTCTGCCGGGCTAGGAGAAGCTAGAGTAGCTCATCCCGTTCCACAAGGGCAAGGAGCCCAAGGAGAAGAGTCAGGCTGGGGACGCAAGAGGAGAAGAGGCTAGAAAGCAGGCAGTCTGCCATGGGGAGCTTGCCTAGCCCTGGGCATGGGGGCGGAGGGTAGAGTGGGAAGGGGTCTTCATAAATCTAGGGCCTACCCAGACCTTGGTGCTGTGTCACCTTCTCTGCCCCGCACCTAAGGGAATATGGACATAGGGGTAGGCAGGAGCAGGGATGAGGGCCTGAATCTACAAAATCAGGACCAGGAAGTCTCAACTGTGCAGACCTCGGTGGGCCATCATGGGCCTCAGAGGGCATGCTTGGGATGGAGGGGCACCTCAGTGGATCAGGAGTGAAGCCGCAGAGGGTGTGCTTGGGATGGAAGGGGACCTCAGTGGATCAGGAGTGAGGCCTCAGAGGGTGTGCTTGGGATGGAAGGGGACCTCAGTGGATCAGGAGTGAAGTGCCTATGAGTGTACCATCTCACAGTTGGGGGTGTCCACTGAAGCAATGGGCCTCTCAAGAAGCAGTGAGCACCCCAGCATAGGTTGTGCGTGTAAAAGCCCACTGCTTACCTGTTGGCAGGGGAGGGGCCCATGATACTGTGGTTGAGACCCCCTGCACCCAGAGTGCTGGGGACAGTGTGGTGGAGCCCTCACGGCAGTAAGAAGACTGAGACAGTAAGAATGCCCTGACTCAGAAGTTCTGCCCCTAATCCCTCATTTCTTTTCTTTCTAAACAAGATTATTATTTTTTCTTTCTAAAGTTTATTTCTTCCATGAGAGAGAGAGACAGACAGGCAAGCAGAGTCCTCACACCAGGGTCCACCCCCAGTCTCAGGGCACAGGCATGCACCCATGTGCCGGCGTGTTCAGAGAGGTCCCAGAATGCAATCGTAGCACCTTTCCTGTGGGGCCAGTTGCCATGCCACTTGTATTATCACTTGGCCCTCAAGTCCTCCTTCCTGCACCAGATACTTTCTCCCTCTCATCAGGGCCTCAGAGGAAAAGCCTACTAAGTGTATCCTCTCTGAAGACAGCTAATAACAAAACAAGACCAGGGATGATTCTTAAATGGTGGAATTTCAGGCACCTGAGGCAGAGTGGATTATTTTTCACAGAGATTAACTGCTGCAAACATTCATATCCTACATCGCTGTGTGGCTAATGCCAGAACGATCTGCGTCTGGGCAATTTAAGAAAATAGAGGTTTATGTAGCTCTTGATTTTGGAAGCTGAGAAGTCTAAGAGCATGGTGCCTGCATCTGGTGAGGATCTTCTTGCTACACCACAACATGGCAGAGGGCAGGAGCACGTGTGTCTGTGTCCATGTGTCTCTGCTCTGGTCTCATTCCCTCTTCTTGAAACCCCCCAGGATTCAGAGGGGAGCTCCACCCTGATAACCTTATCTAATCCTCATTGTCCCCTGAAGGCTCTGCCTCTTAATCCCATGGTCGGATTAAGTTTCTGCCCTCTTAATACCTTCACAACGTCTCATCTTTCTTTTTCTTTTCTTTTCTTTTCTTTTCTTTTCTTTTCTTTTCTTTTCTTTTCTTTTTTAGTTTGCTATAGGGTGTGTGTGCTTGCCAGACAGAGAGAGAGAGAGAGAGAGAAAGTGAAAAATCACCCCTCATGTGGGATGGCTATGCTGCAATTCCTTCTTCACTCTCCTCTCAGTATTTAGGGCACACACACATGCACTGGCCAGCATATTTTTCAAGCTGCAGGATCCAGGACTCGAACCACACAGTCAGCCATGTGGTACCCAGCTGCCTTACTTTCCGCACCATGTTAACTTCTGTTGACCTGGCCCACCAAATTTTACCACATGAATTCTCAGGGGACACATTCAAACAATAGCAACTCGTATTCTACTTTGAGATGAAGGTGAGAGTAGCCTTGCCCACCAACAAAGCCATTTCTGGACTTCTGCTTGGGTCAGCTCTAGGGAAGAGTCCACCTTTCCTCAGGATCTAAGGACCAAGGGAATTCAGGAGTGCTTTCCTGAGACCTCTGGGAAGGGCTTGGGCAGTCATGGAGTCAAGCCTTGTCAGGCCTTTGGGAAGATAGGCAGTGGCAGGACAGACGGAGGTGAAGGCTGAAAGGTGAGGGTGAGGTGGAGCGCACCCTCTCTTGGCCTGGGCTGAGTTGGCGAGCACCGTACGGTCCTTCAGGCTTAGTTCTTGTCCACGTCTCCTTTGTTAGGGGGGCCCTCAACCCACCTTGCCCCAAGGTCATTCATGCCAGTCATCTCTTCTTGGGCAGTAAGCATGCTGTTCTCAGAGCAGCTGGACAACGAGGCCCGTGAAGCATCAGGTGCCAGGCGCCGTCGGAGCACCGCAGCCAGCAAAGCCTTCAGGTACTGGCGGAAGCGGCGACTGAAGAAGGTGTTCTCATTCCCTCTTCTTGAAACCCCCCAGGATTCAGAGGGGAGCTCCACCCTGATAACCTTATCTAATCCTCATTGTCCCCTGAAGGCTCTGCCTCTTAATCCCATGGTCGGATTAAGTTTCTGCCCTCTTAATACCTTCACAACGTCTCATCTTTCTTTTTCTTTTCTTTTCTTTTCTTTTCTTTTCTTTTCTTTTCTTTTCTTTTCTTTTCTTTTCTTTTCTTTTCTTTTTTAGTTTGCTATAGGGTGTGTGTGCTTGCCAGACAGAGAGAGAGAGAGAGAGAGAAAGTGAAAAATCACCCCTCATGTGGGATGGCTATGCTGCAATTCCTTCTTCACTCTCCTCTCAGTATTTAGGGCACACACACATGCACTGGCCAGCATATTTTTCAAGCTGCAGGATCCAGGACTCGAACCACACAGTCAGCCATGTGGTACCCAGCTGCCTTACTTTCCGCACCATGTTAACTTCTGTTGACCTGGCCCACCAAATTTTACCACATGAATTCTCAGGGGACACATTCAAACAATAGCAACTCGTATTCTACTTTGAGATGAAGGTGAGAGTAGCCTTGCCCACCAACAAAGCCATTTCTGGACTTCTGCTTGGGTCAGCTCTAGGGAAGAGTCCACCTTTCCTCAGGATCTAAGGACCAAGGGAATTCAGGAGTGCTTTCCTGAGACCTCTGGGAAGGGCTTGGGCAGTCATGGAGTCAAGCCTTGTCAGGCCTTTGGGAAGATAGGCAGTGGCAGGACAGACGGAGGTGAAGGCTGAAAGGTGAGGGTGAGGTGGAGCGCACCCTCTCTTGGCCTGGGCTGAGTTGGCGAGCACCGTACGGTCCTTCAGGCTTAGTTCTTGTCCACGTCTCCTTTGTTAGGGGGGCCCTCAACCCACCTTGCCCCAAGGTCATTCATGCCAGTCATCTCTTCTTGGGCAGTAAGCATGCTGTTCTCAGAGCAGCTGGACAACGAGGCCCGTGAAGCATCAGGTGCCAGGCGCCGTCGGAGCACCGCAGCCAGCAAAGCCTTCAGGTACTGGCGGAAGCGGCGACTGAAGAAGGTGTAGAGGATGGGGGTAAAGCAGCAGTGAAGGAAAGCGATGCTCTCGGTCACCTGCAGGGCGTAGTCCATGCGCTGGCTGACCTCACAGTCCCCGAAGACTTGCAGGTCCATCAGTGAGAGCAGAAACAAGACGAGGTTGTATGGGAACCAGAGCGCGAAGAAAGCCACCACCAGGGCGGCAGCCATCCTGAGAGCCCGGCCCTGGCCTGGGGGCCTCAGCCTGACCAGGACACAGCCAATGCGGGAATAGAAGAAGATCATGGTGAGGAGTGGAAGGAGAAAGCCCAGGAGGTTCTGAAGGAAGCGGAGGAAGAGCTTCCACACAGTAGCGTGCCCGCCGAAGTCTGCGTAGCAGTTCCACACTCCCTTGGGGTTTTCGTGCGTCTGTACAAAGACCATGTCGGGAATCGAGATAGCCAGGGCCACGGCCCACACTGCGGCAGCAAGGAGCAGGCTCCTGGCCCGGCTCCTCAGCCTGTGGTGGGGCTGAGCGTGAACGATTTCTAGGTACTTGTCCAGGCTCATGCAGCTAATGAAAAAGATGCCACTGTAAAAGTTAACAGTGTAGAGGGTACTCACCATCTTGCACAAGAAACTTCCGAAGACCCAATGCCAGGCCACAGAGATGCCCCAGAAGGGCAGGGTCACCACAAACAGGAGATTGGAGATGGCCAGGTTCA